ACGACACCTTGGCCTCCTCCTAGGGGGAGGCCACCCTGCGCCGCCACCATCCCCTGCCCACCGCCGCCCATCATCGCTCCTCCCGTCACGGGCATGCTCTGTAAACTCGGCAACGTGCTCCTCGATGGTAACCTCAGCTCCGTCGGCCTCCCCGTGAATTTGTGGCAGAGCTCGTCTATGCTTGGCGTAGGCCCGGGCGTGACCCAGTGTCCCGGGGGATATCCACCTGGATAACTCGGCGGGCTCACTTCCGCTAGGTTGCCCTCTGAAACATCGGACCGGGGAACAATTCTTTCGGGGATTCGCTCGAAACGTTACGAAGCGGAAAGCGAGCCACCTCGCCACGGTGACAATTAGCCGTGTGCGGCTTTTTTTTTTTTCTCTCTCCTCCCTATCCATTCTCTTTTCGAAATAGCATCGCCTCGCAACACGATGCATAGTTCTTAATTGAAAATTATTTTACGTTCTTTAATAACGATACCTGCGATGTTTTTAATATTACTTATAGACTCGATAATGGATAAAATTGCGAGGCGGTGAAGTTTCGAATGAAGTTTCTGATTCTTTTGTCGGGAGGAGGAGGAAGAAGAAGAAGGAGGGATGGAAAATGGAATTTAGCGTATACAACGGCATATCTAAAAAGAGCGGCCCCCCTCCACATAATCGAACGAATCGATGGCGCTCCCCAATGCAAATGGAAAATGTTTTTCGGAAAATATCTGGCGCGTTGGCTCGATCTCTTTTGTTGGGGATGAAATACCGCCGGCGCCACGGCCCGCCACCCGTGTAAGCCGCGGTAATTGAATAAAATCTATATACACGCAGCTATTACAAATCGCGGCGGTGCTCGTAACCAGCGCAATTAGATTAACTGCGCGTTGCGAGAACGTTTCCTGCCTATTATTCGAGCAAAATCCAGACCGGCGATCGATCGTTTTGCACCGACCCCGATCCCGAAACCGTCCCCTCTCCTCGCTGAAAGCCAGGTACGTCCCGTCTCTTTCTTTCCTTTTTCACTTTTTTCTGAGAATCGATGCCTTCGATGTTTCGATCGGACGAGGGGGATCGAGATCTTATTATTATCGTGCACGATCTATCTGGATAACGTTGAGGGTGAAGCGAGGATCTGGAGAGGAGAGTTTACGCGTTGTACGTTGTTTGCAATGGTTTCGAGGCAAATGCTAACGACAGTGAAATTAATGGAGTAGGGATTTGAGATCATGCGGAATCTTGGACAGTGTTGGGAGTGAAGATTTGAGATTTTAGGTTTCGAGATTGAATTTATATCGAGTGTTTTTTCCCTCTGCGGCGATTCGAGTATTTGTTGGGTTCTTATCGTGTACTCTGTATGCTGAGGATAAGGACAATGTTGAAAGAGTTGAAGTCATAATGTTGAGGAGGGGAAAGGGTGAAATTAACGAAAATCTGAGAATTTTAAGTCCTGAAATCGAAGTTATTGTACTGAATGAAATAGAGATTTGAGATTTTTAATTCCTATTACGTGTACCCTGCTGAGGATAAGACTAAGAGTAGTAAAATTAATAGGGATCGAGATCTTATCGCATGTTGAACAATGCTGAAAGGGTTAAATATGGACAATATTGAGGAGGGGAAAGGACAGTGAAATTAACGAAAATCTGAGAATTTTAGATCTTGAAATCGAAGTTATTGTACTGAATGAAATGGAGATTTGAGATTTTTAATTCCTATTGAGTTACGTGTATCCTGCAATGCTGAGAATAAGGTTAAGAGTAGTGAAATTAATAGGGATTTTATTGTATTATATCGCATGCTGGACAATGCTGAAGGAGTTGAGATCGTAACAATATTGAGGGTAAAAAACAATGAAATTAAAGAAGATTTGAGATTTTAGATTCTGATACTATTTGTTTTCTGCGATGTTGTTATAACAAAATGGAGATTTGAGATTTTTAATTTCTATTGGATTTCTATCAATGTGTACTCTGTACTGTTGAGGATAAGGAAATTAATAGGGATTGAAATCTTATTGCATGGATAATGTTGAAAGAGTTGAAGTCATAATGAACAATGTTGAGGAGTATTGTACTGAATGAAATAGAGATTTGAGATTTTTAATTCCTATTGAGCTACGTGTACCCTGCTGAGGATAAGGCTAAGAGTAGTGAAATTAATAGGGATCGAGATCTTATCGCATGTTGAACAATGTTGAAAGGGTTAAATATGGACAATATTGAAGAGGGGAAAGGACAGTGAAATTAACGAAGATCTGAGAATTTTAGGTCCTGAGATCAAGCTTATTGTATTGTGAAGTGCTTTGGAATTTTTATTTCCTATTATTTCGAACTACGTGCAATGCTGAGGCTAAGAGTAGCGAAATTAATAGGGATCGAGATCTAATTGTATTATATCGCACGCTGGACAATACTGAAGGGGTTGAGATCGTAGTGGACAATGTTGAGGGCGAAAGAAGTTGAAATTATCGAATTTTCGAGATTTTAGATTCTGATACTATTTATGTTTTCTTGCTGTTTTCGAACGGTGTAGTAACTAAGAAAACAAAGATTTGAGATTTTTAATTTCTATTGTATTCCTATCGAGCTACGTGTATTCTGCAATGCTGAGGATAAAGCTAAGTGAAATAAATCTTCTTATATTATATCGCACGCTGGACAATACTGAAGGGGTTGAGATCGTAGTGGACAATGTTGAGGGCGAAAGAAGTTGAAATTATCGAATTTTCGAGATTTTAGATTCTGATACTATTTATGTTTTCTTGCTGTTTTCGAACGGTGTAGTAACTAAGAAAACAAAGATTTGAGATTTTTAATTTCTATTGTATTCCTATCGAGCTACGTGTATTCTGCAATGCTGAGGATAAAGCTAAGTGAAATAAATCTTCTTATATTATATCGCACGCTGGACAATACTGAAGGGGTTGAGATCGTAGTGGACAATGTTGAGGGCGAAAGAAGTTGAAATTATCGAATTTTCGAGATTTTAGATTCTGATACTATTTATGTTTTCTTGCTGTTTTCGAACGGTGTAGTAACTAAGAAAACAAAGATTTGAGATTTTTAATTTCTATTGTATTCCTATCGAGCTACGTGTATTCTGCAATGCTGAGGATAAAGCTAAGTGAAATAAATCTTCTTATATTATATCGCACGCTGGACAATACTGAAGGGGTTGAGATCGTAGTGGACAATGTTGAGGGCGAAAGAAGTTGAAATTATCGAATTTTCGAGATTTTAGATTCTGATACTATTTATGTTTTCTTGCTGTTTTCGAACGGTGTAGTAACTAAGAAAACAAAGATTTGAGATTTTTAATTTCTATTGTATTCCTATCGAGCTACGTGTATTCTGCAATGCTGAGGATAAAGCTAAGTGAAATAAATCTTCTTATATTATATCGCACGCTGGACAATACTGAAGGGGTTGAGATCGTAGTGGACAATGTTGAGGGCGAAAGAAGTTGAAATTAACGAAGATTCGAGATTTTAGATTCTGATACCGTGTGTGTTTCTGCTGTGTTTTCGAACTGGAGATTTGAGATTTTTCCTTCCTATCGGCTTCCTATCTCTGAGGATAAGGCGAAATTAATAGGGATCGAGATCTTATTGTTATAACGCACGCTGGACAACGCCAGCGAGGATAAAGCGAAATTAGGGGATCCGAGAGAGTTTCCACGTTGTTTGGGACGCCGGAGGCAAATGCTAAGGATAGTGAAATTAATGGAGTAGGGGCTTGGAGATCTTTAGTAGATCGCACCTTGGACATTGTCGGTAAAACGAAGATCTGAGATTTCAGGTCCTGCTGGTTTCAAGTATAACTACCAATTTCCCCGAAATTTTTAAATTCCAATCGAGTTACTCCACCGAGGACGAAGCTAAATCCGAGATCTTAAGCCTGCTATAATATATTATATTTGTCCCCCAGAAGCTGTGGGCTTCGAAATTAGCAAGGATACCTACAAGCCCCGTTGTCCATGGACAAAAAGGTAGGGAAACGAAACGAGAGCAAAGGGGATCGATTTCGACGTCGAGAAACTTACCAAATTTATTCGGAATAACGTCTGGGTCCGTTTCCACGGTTTGCTGAGGGTTCTGCAGCGGGTACTGCTGCGGGGGTAGCTCGCTCAGCTCCGCCGGTTTTTCGTGGCGTGGCTTCGACACGCGTTCCCGACGCACGCGTACCACCACCACGAGTATGACGAGCACCAGGGTGACCAACGCCCCGACCACAACCCCTATCAAGGGCGATAACACGATCCCAGCGTCTTGTCCTTGAACAGAGGCGTAATTTCGCAGTAATAGTTAGTAGGATGACGTTACCAGGATGGATAGAATATGGGGGGAGGGGGAGACGCGACGTTTAAACGGCCGACGTAATTAACAAATTCCGGCGGCGTTTCAGGGTCGGCGCTCGATGAAATTTACGAGGGGACTGGGGATTGACAAATGAACAACGGTAATTTGTTTAAAATTATCGCGGCCATAATTAAACGATGGGAACGGGCCTCGTAATAACAGCCCCCCCCCCAGTTTTGTTCGTTACTACGTACGAGGGGATCGTGATGTATCCGTCTGTGTAAACGTTAATGAACGGATGATTGTGAAACCGCGTGATCCTCGTTATGAAACGGCGGATATATCCGGGGAATCTGTTTTATTTTCGTCTTATCCCTCTTGATCTTTTCTGAAACATCTTGCACTCGTTTTCGAAGGCCGAAAATATCTCGTTCGGGATTCGATGAAATTTTAAACGGAGGACTTCTTAGGGATTCGAGTAAAGTGTATATATATATATATATATATTTGGAGTTGGGAGGATAAAAAAGGAAAATTTACGATCGGGGACGATGGTGAAAAATATAGGTTATCGAGGACAGAGGAGCGTAAACAAGGGTCCGTGTTTTATTTCGTTCCATTCGTTACGGTGTTAATTGTCATCGAACTATCGTCACCGATTCAAAACTTCAATTAAAATGGTACTTTATCCGGGGTACCGTCCCCTTGGATAACAAACTTCGTGCCACTTACCGGATTAAATGAATTACCCCAATTAAGGACTCTCCTTTCATCTCTCTCTCTCTCTTTTTTTTTTCACGGTTATACAAACGCGTAAATATTTAGTAGAATATTAAAATTCGAGGGTGGAAAAGGAAAGAAAAAGAAGAAAAGAGACGCGAAATCGAATCGAGAGCGAAGAAATTAATCGTACGCGTGACAGAGTTATGAAAGGAGAGAAACTGCTTTCCAACTCGGATCTCTCTGGCTATTTACTCCATCCTTTTTTCTTTTTTCTCTCTCTTTTTTTTTTTTTTTTTTTCTTCTTTTTACCCTCTCGGGGTACGGGGCAACACGCCGCGGTAAACCGTGCACGTACACAGGTCCGAGGAAAGCACAGCCTCTGCAAACGCCTTTGCGCGGATTCCAGTTGGCTCTGGACTCGATTCAAAATGTTTGCACGTTAAAAAATTAGAGGGAACTGGTCGGACTGGAAGGTGCATTAGTCAACGGAGCTCTCGCGTTTATCTCGCGACAAGGAGGAGCAAGCCACTCACTATATACGTTCAATCTTCAACGAACAAATACACAATTTTTCTCGAGAATAGTTAATAATAATAAATAATAATATTCGAGGAATATTGGAGAAAAAAAGAAAAAAAGAAATCTGGGGAGAGACGAGAAATCTTGCAGCTCGATTCTTGCTTCCCACGGGGGAGGGGGTGACGTTTCGGTTGATAGTGGGCAGGGAGCGTGGGAGCCGGCCCGCTGTTTTCGCCGGATAATTAACAAAACTGTATCCCTTTTCGAGTCGGCCAGCTGTTGGCCCGAATGCACGATTCAAGTGGGACGGTGCACCGCTCCACGGTTATTTTTCCCTTTCTTTTTAATTCTTAATTCTCGCGAAAATATGGCCATATGCGTCGCAGCTCCCTCTTTTTGCACGAAAAACCGGTTGCCGGAAACCTTCCCCTCCCTCGCTTCAAACTTTCTTAGCGAGCGAGTTTAAGCAAAGAAAGGGGAGTGGAGATTGAGCGCGAGGCGAAAATGAAAATCGGACGGCGTACAGTATACGTGCTTGCATTCACGCATGCGCAATACACACGTATGTTATGCACAATACAGGCGCGTATTTATACGCGCGTAAATAGATCGCGCCATCTACTTATGCGCGGGAAGGTATATTTCGCCGGGGCGGTGATAAAGTTTGGGATTTAATCCCGAGTTCCGAAGCTAAACCTAAACCTAAACCTTCGTAACGTACGACGTTTGCCTTTCGGTTTATTTCGTGGGTGGATCGGCACGCGAGGGAGAAACGTTCGAAATAGTGTGAACGGTGCCCCGGTAAATCGGCCGCCGTCGTCAGCAGCCTGCGAAACAGGTTGCGTTCACAGGGGGAGCGAGAGCAGCACGCTTATCGCGTTCCAGCTACTATTCCTGTATGTTTTATCGACACGTTGCGCCGCGCCTATTGCTATCCTCGCGATAATACACTGGGAGCTGTTCCCAGAGGGAGCTACGTAGCGCGGTTGAGCGAGAGGGAAACATGGCGAATAATTTTATAGATTGCAGATTTCTTCAGAGGAAAAGAATCTAATGTATAGGTTAAATAATAATATAAAATAATAATAATAAAATAGGTATAGGAGTACACTCTTGGCTTGAACGGATGGTGTACATATATAATTGCGTCGTTACGTGTAATTTCTCGGATCAATTATCGGGCGATTTACTCGAGGCGGTTGGTGTCACGGCTCGTATATTCTTCGAAAGCGTGGACGGATTTCTCGTTAAAGTTGCAGCGTTGGGATGCGGTGTTGTTCCAACAAGGGAGGAAGAGGAGGGAGGGGGGAAATATATATCTCGCGCAGGGTTTCAGGACGGCGGTATTCACCTAAATCACGCGGATAGTTTGCCAGCTTTTCTCTCCTCTCGTCCTCCCTCGCTTGCCGTACCGCGGCAATTTTTTAATCAATTACCAGTTTTTTTCAGCAGAGGGTGCTTTCTTGTCGTGGAGTGGAAATGGGGAACGCGTATTCATCGTACATAGACCTCCCCTTCCTCCTTCTTCTCTAAGTCCCCGACAATGTCTCGTAAAAGTTGCAATGGAAGTTTAATCGAGTTCCACGCGAAGAAACGTCTGGGTGGCGGGGTACTAAAGATAAACCGGCTCCTTATACCTTATACCTATCCGATCCTCTACGAGGATCTCTAACGGGGGGATTCCCGGGGACCAGAGCCAACAGGGGAAATCGCACATCCCCAACTCGAGGAGTTCATCGAAGTTTAGATCGCTAATCGGTCTTAACAGCGCCCTCTCCCGACATTCTTTCGCGTTTCGCGGCTGAAAAAAAAGAGAGAGAGAGAGAATAGAAAAATTTTTTGAAAATCGCGAAACGAACGTGGAATCGATCGATTCGTTTTTAATCGTCGAGAAAAATTTTCCTTCGATCGAGATAAATTCGAAGAGAGAGAGAGAGAAAAAAGAGAAGATAGGGTAAAAGTCGTTGGATAAGTTTCGTTCGATGTGTCGAGGGAATAAGGAAAGAGGGGGAGTAAGACAGAGGTTGGGACGTCATACGGCCCGGCTAAGTCACCAAAAAGCCGGGCTTAGCCGGAGCCAGATCTAACTTTGCCTCACCTGGATTAATTTCAACGTAAAGGCTAACCCCGAATCGATGTTGCGCCGTCGGTTTCCCCGAGGCTAAGACGACTTACGTGTCCCCTTTAGGTCCCGTTTTCAATTAATGAAACGCGCACGCGAATCTCTTTCGCCCTCCGTGACCGATCGCTTTCGACCCGGATTACCAACGGCTCAAAGTCCGTTCAGCTCTGAAAATTATTCCATCCCAACCCCGTTAAAGGGATTTCCAACCACCACGATATTACTTTCTCCGGCAACCTCCATCGCTCAACGTGCACCTCTCCTTTCTCCTTTCTTCTTCTTTTTCTTCTTCTTCAAAAATTTAGAAAATTCGAATAAACTCGGTGGATCAAGAATCGTCCCCTTTAAGGGGTTAGATGCGCGATAGGGGATGCTAATACGGTCAAGTTGCGACGTGGATGGCGGTTTGGTATCCTCTTAATTGCAATCAGTCGGAACAGTCTCGAGAGTTCGTCACTGATTGCTCCCTTCCCTCCTCCCTTCTTCTCTCTCTCTCCACACCTTCTTCTCTCATCGCCCTTTCCCTTCGCGTATGTACACATCGCGTCACAACCAAAACCGTGTGAAATCGAGGAGCAATTACCGGCTCGATCTCGAAACCTGAAGGGTAGATTGGCCCATAGAGAGAAAGAGATAAAAGGACGATATACTCGCCGATCTTGAGAATCTAGTTCATAATAAACGTTTATCGGCGGGAGGATCGAGTTGGAGGCTCGAAAGGCTTAAGGCCAAGTATCCTAATCTCAATTATCGTAGGACCAGTTGGAATGCTACCCGGTGTCGATGGAACCCTTTATCTAATCTCTCTCTCTCTCTCTCTTCCTTTCTTTCACCCTCGACTTCGCTTTAATCCGAATACCCGCGGGCCACCGAAATTACACTGTTACTAGTTTCCATCGTTGCTACTCGTCTCTCTTCTCCTCTTACCTCTAATATTCAAATTATGCTTCACCCCTTTTTGACAACGCGCCGCGTTTCCTCCATCGATTACTCGAAGAGAGAGAGAGAGAGAGAATCTTCGATTTATTCGTTGGTTTCGATGAAGCATTCTCGGGATCACACGTCATCACGGGTTGGATGCGTGTAATTTTCTCGCGGAAATGCGAAAAGGTTTCGCGCATTCGAAGGGCTGAGGAAATTTCATGGGTCGCGGTAATCTGATTCAGAATTCGTTGCAGCTGACGCCTTTCAACCGCAGTCGCCTTGAAACCGAGAGAGAGGCGGTTGACTTCACGGAGGAATTCTGCTTCCTCCGCGAGAGATACGATCGATTTGCCTATAATTTCCCCGACTAATTAATCTGCTTCCACTAATTATTTCGTTTCGAAATTATTTTCGACCAAGCAAATTTCACTCGACTCCCTTTCGTCCCGGTAATAATTTCTACTCTCACCCCTTCTTCTCCATCCCTTTCCAAGCGCACAGGTCATCGCAGCCTCGACCAAACTTTGATCAATTGCCCGTAAAGTAGGAGCTGATCCTTTCGAACAAAGGGGAACAGTCTTACTAGCTCGAACATACCGTTATCACGGGTATTACGGGTAGTGGATAGATGTAAAGATTTCGGTTGAGGAGCGGGTCATTTAATACTCGGACACCGTTCAGAGATTTAAACACGAGAATGGGGGGCGATACTTCTCGTTACGTACGTTCGAGGAGAATTTCCACCGCCATTTTCCACGGGGACGAAATTGTCGGATAACTGGGTACACCTTGATATAAACCCCCCTTTTGGAATATATTACACCAAGAGAATATTTCTTAAGGACTTAACGTACGCGATATCGTACGGCTATAATAATCGTTTTCCTCCCGGACTCTGCTTTAATAGAATTTAAAGCAAGCTCTTTCTTCCTCCCTCCCCGACATCCAAACGGTCAAAGCCGAAGAGAGGAGATCGCGAGGGAAGGGCAAGGGGCAATTTGTATCGCTGACGTTGTGCCTTCCCGCGAATCGCCTTCGATCGATCTTCACCGTGGCGTGAGCCGAGTTTCAAGAGACCGGAGACCGGAACCACGAAAACGGAACACCGGGCCTGGATTTTGCGGTTCGGACACGTACTCGCCAATCAGCGCGCGTCCGTCGAGCTTTCTAGGCCGCGTTTCGTTTCAAACGATGCACGAGATCCGCGTTGAAATTCTCCACGAGAATCTCCATCGAATCTTTGGGAGAAATGTGTCATTTGTGAGAATCGTGAAAAATCGATACAGTTGGATAATCAACAAATCCATTCTCGATATACGAAGATGATCGAAAGTTTACTATCCATCGAAACGTTCGTGTAAACGGGACAGTTGGCGGTTTTCAATTGGCCGTTTAAACGGGGGAGGGGGGGGGGATAAAACATCCCATTTAAGCACATCGGAAAATCGGATATATTCGGTTACAAGAGCAACCGTGCCACCGTTGAAAAGCTAATCGATAGCCGTAGCACACGGTTGCGTGTTACGGAAACGCGTGTCGGTTTGATCGTCCTTTAATTGACGTACGTTAACGTACGGGCGAACGGTAAACGGCGTGGTATCGGCTTTTACGGCGCGATGAGTTACATCTGGATACGTTATGCTCGAAGCCTCCGATCACCCGCGTATGCGTGAACCCGCGCGCGCCACGGTTGAAACGGAGGTGGAGGGGGGGGGGCGAGAGAGAGAGAGAGAGAGTTGCCGCAAACGAACTGTCGTCGCCTCACGCGGGACACGCGACTCACTTGTTTAACATCCTCCCCACTCCCCCTCACCTCGTGTCGCACGAGCGCGCGTCCATTTCTCCGTTGCCCCCCTTCCCCCGCCACCGGGATCGGCCACCGGAATCGCGAAATTCAATTTTCTCGGTCGCGTCCCCCCCTCCCTTCCCCGCGACCAATCGCCGTTTTCTCGCTGCAAGAAACACGCTCACGCCCTCTCCCCATCTCTCACCCATACACAATTTTCGGAAAAACGAATTTCTGCTGCGTTCAATTTCGCAGATGTTTACCCAGGAACGCGATCTGTTCGAACGCGCTCGTTTCCTTGTATCTAGGGTATCTTTGATTCCTCGGGATCAGGGATGTGTATATATATATATATATGTATATATAGAGATCGATGAGAATGAGAGAGAGAGAGAGAGAAAGAGATTTTACGGGGAAATATTATCTTTTGAATTTCGAGTGAAATTTTTTTGTTTTTTCTTTACCACTCTGCCAATTTAAATATTAATATGTAGGTTAACGAGATATTCGTTGGGAATAATCACGGTTGAAATATTTATGGTATTTTGCACGTGAAAGCCGCTCTCTCTCTCTTTCTCGAGTTCTTCGAATCTTTTGAATATATTTTGAATATAATAATAATAATAATAATAATTCCCTTCCTTCCATCCATTATTGCTCCATTCGTCGTCGTTATTCGAGATTGTTCGTTCGTGACGAAGGGACTTGGAAAGATTCGATCGAAGAGTAGAGGAGATGGTAAGTTAATCGTTGAACGGATTCGTCGAAGCGAGGATGGAAAGGATGGATAAAATCGAGAAGGGAAGGAGGGGATATATAAGTAAGCGGGACGAAGAGAAGGGGGAATTGGGGAGGGGGTAAACAGAGGTAAGTGAAGTTAACGACGGAGCAAGAAGAGCGGCAAAAATGACCCAGGGAAAATTACCGCACGCGAAACGGTTTAATGTCCAAAAAGACGAGCGGACCGGTTAGGTGGAAGGGGGACACGCGAGCAAGACGAAGAACGAGAGAAAGCGCAGCCGCTTAATGACCATCCTGTACATCCGTATCTCTTCTGCCTTCTCCACCTTCCCTCTCTCTCTCTCTCTCTCCTAACTTCTCGTCTTTCTCTCCTCCCAATCCTTATCTTTCCTTTTTCTTCCCTCCGACTTCTCTGTACGGTGGTGGGTGCCGTTGGGACCATTATCCGTAATTGCTTTCCTTAATTCGATGCTCGTTGCTCCGCGTGGGGAAAAAATTTTTCGAGGAAAGAAAGGAGGGGGATCGAGATCTAGCGTTCGATCGGATATCCTTTTTTTTCAGCTCTTGGACTTGGCTCGCCAATTACGGAAGTGGCGTCAAATATGAAAACCGAGGAGGGGTGTAACGAAGAGAAGAAAGGTCGTCGAGCTATTTAAATAGCCGCAAGTTTCTAGCTAATGTCTTAATTACGCGCTAATCGACTTTCGAGTTGGCTTGTCGGGCTGCCGGTCGTTTCGCCGATCGAGTTCCAACGCGGGGGATAGTTTTAATGGTAAGTAGCCGAGAGCTTGTCTCGTCCTTTCTCTCTCTCTCTCTCTCTCTCTCTCTCTCTATTCCTCTCTCCTTTCTCTCTCCCTAATCGAAAGATAATCAAATGCGGTCTGAGAGATAGGGAGATGAAGAGAGAGAGGGTGAGAGGAAGAGGGAGGGAGCGTAAGTAATGGTCGTTTGTTCTTGAATGTCGAGAAGTTGATGTACGAGAAGTCGGTGGCGGTTCGGCGAGCGCGAGCGCAAGAGAGAGAGAGAGAGAGGAGAGGAGAC